TAGTCTGCATGTTTGCCTTTTATCTTTTACTAGACCCTCCTTAAAGGCAGAAATTACTTTTTAAAAAAATCTCTGCATCTCTAGTACCTTAATGCAGTGGCTGATACACAGAAGGTGCTGATTAAATGTTGAATGAATTAAAATTTAAATGTTGTTTAAGTCAATTCAAAGGACTGCGGTCTTCCCCATTTTCCTAAGTGGCAACTCTCATCTTCTAGTTGCCCTACCAGGAGTCTTGAATTCATCTTCTTTCTCTCTGACCCCACCCCCAATCCATGAACGGACCCTATTTTCTGTTTCTTCATATGGTATCTAGCAGTTAGCCCCTTTCCCCTACTCGTACCACCTGAGTCCAAACCACCATTGAATCTTGCCAGGATTATCCTCAGAGTCTCCTAACTGATGGCCTGCTTCCTTCTTTGTCCCCTTCAATATATGTTCAAACACAACAGCAGGTGTGATCATGCTAAAACATAGACGGGATTGTATTTTTCTTCTATTCACAGGCCTCCAATTGCTTCCCTTCTCACTCAGAATAAAAGCCAGAGTCCTCACCTGTCCTCCAAAGCCCAGTTTGTCCTCGCCACCTATCCTTGCCCCTCACACCACTGTAGCCACATCGGCCTCTTCTCCCTGAACCTTCCCAGAATACTTCTGCCTCAGGGCCCGGGAACCTGAAGCTTTTTTCTCTTCCTGGTTCCTGCGTGGTTCGCTCCCTCACCTCCGGTAAAGTCTTCCCCTAATGGCCACGCTATCTAAAATGGAGTCCCTTTCTACCACCAAAACTCTATCCCCCTTTTCTGCTTAAAGTTTCTCCTTAACTTTATCCTCTGACATATTACATATTTTCCTTATTTATCCTTAAAACATTAGAACATAAGCTTCACAAGGACAGAGATTTTCACTTTTTATGTACCTGTTTTATCATCAGCACCTATTTAGCACATAACATCGTATGGAAAAACCCAAACGAATTTTTTTGCCAACCCAATACTAGACACACAATACATATTTGATGAGCAAACCATAGGTGACTTACTTGCAGGTCATAAACATTTACTTCTCCTAAAATACACATAAAGTCACTTAAGAATTGCTAATTGGGCTTCCCTGGTGGGGATCAGTGCCAATGCAAGAGACTCGAGTTCTATCCCTGGGACAGGAAGATCCCCTAGAGAAGAAAATGGCAACCTAATCCAGTATTCTTGCCTGGAGAATCCCTTGGGCAGAGGAGCCTGGCGGGCTACAGTCTGTGGGGTTGCAAAGAGTCAGAGACGACTTAGTGACAGACTAACTTTTTACTCTTCAGTTCATATCTCAGGTAAAAAACATCTACTGGCTAGTTTTATATGTTTCCGCTTGCTTAAAGAAGGTAGATTTAATACCAATAAGAATAAAATTTCTAACCGCTCTTGGAAAGAATAGGCTTTTCGGGGTGATAGTGAATTCCTGTCTTTTGAGGTTTTCAAAAATAAAGCGAATAATCACTAGTCACTGGTGACAGGGTTAGGTCAGTGGATCCATAGGGAACACTCGACTGTGTCTGGAGATATTTCTGGTTGTCACAACCAGAGGATGCTACTTGTGTCTAGTGGCTGGAGGGCCAGAGACACCGCTCAGCACCCTATAGATCTGCACCCCTGCCCCGCCCCAGATGGCAGTAGTGGCACCGTGGAGAGCCCCTCGATTAAATGGTTTTTATAGTCCTTAATGATTCTGAGATTCTTTGTTTATAGGTCCTCTTTTTCTGAAGGTAGGGGATTCCTTGGAAATTACTGTTGTGAGTTTTAAACTTCTCCTCATAACGTGTTTTTATATCTTAATGCCTACAGATTTCTGTTTGTTTGTTTTGCAATGTGGGGCTTGTAGTATCTTAGTTCCCTGACCAGTAATTGAACCCCTGCCCCCTCAGTGGAAGCCCCGAGTCCTAATCACTGGACACCAAGGGAATTCCCCAGTGCCTGCGCATTTTTACGAGCTTTTACAACAATTGGAACATCTTTTTTCTCTTCCTGCTGTAAACCTAGTCATTGTATTACAATCACTGTAGGAATGAGTTACATTATCGCCTGGGAGAACTAGGCAGAAGTACTGTTGTTGTTCCGGTTCTGCTAGAAACTTAGACTTGTTATTATTTATTGTATTTTCACAGGAAAAAGCCCATGTAGCTTAATACCCTGGGGAAGAATTTGAGAACAGAACCTTATAGATAACATAAATGAAGATACTTGCCATTTTTATGAAATTGGAATTTTTGTCAATAACTCTTTTTGAGTGCCAATGGTATTATCATTGTTGTGACAGTTGAAATTAATTTCCTGCCTTTAGGCCTTAAATCTGGTAAGGCAGGCTTGTTGTTGCAGTGTATCATGTCACATTTCTTTGTACGGAGCCAGACTGTTAGGTCGGTGACTTTGATCTGCCATTTTCTTGTCTCCGCGGTCTTTGTACGTGTTCCCCAGAAGTGCGCCCAATTAGTGTTCTCCGTTTTTGTTTTCTGTCCTTAACTCAGGAGACTCACTGCTAATAAAACTTTGTTTTCGAGATTTCAGAAGTAAATAGCTGTGTTCCAATTATTCCCTGAATCAGTGAATGGTTTTAGTATGTTCAGTTGCTGTTCTTCATCTCTTAATTTTGATTGTGTTTTCCTGTAAATGATTTTTTATGAAAAAAGAAAGAAAATAGTATCACTTGAACTGAAAAGAGAACGATCTCCTGTTCTTAAGTAGGTAAAGTATTGGTATTCTCATCTTAGAGCTGAAATAACGGCCACAACTTGGAATTGGTGAAATTTTCTACACATAAATAAGCAGACAGCTTTCTTTATCCTGCAGCCACACCCATCGTACCTTAGTAAGAGTTGAAATCACTCATCATATTCTTTTGTAGCTGGTTTTTCCTCCACAGGAAAACGTCCTTTGCTTGCTTATTTTTAGTGCAAGTTTTTAGTAAAGTTTGAATCCTCAAGTGTTTTCTCAGAATTCATAAAATGAAAGTAGTTAAAAAATAACCCCTCCATCTATTTGGCTTAGAGGATGAACAAAGATCTTCTCAGATAAAAAGCTTTGAAGTACAGAATGTTCTTACAAGGACTTACACATTCTCTTCTTTAAATGATATGATGCATTTTTGTCCTTAGAATCCTCTCAGTCTTTCAGCTCATGTTGGTAAGGGGAAAATGTAAGCATAATTCTAAATAATAACTAAATCTTAATCTTGGCTGCATTTCCTCGGACCTGTTCTGTGTGTGCCTACTTCTCGAATAGAACATGAAGGGAATTTTGATTTCCAAAGATTTCTTTAATGGGCGACCTGTTTCGTTTGTTTAGAGAGGTGTTTGCACTACAGTACCCACGGAAGCTTGTGATCTCTGGTTCTGAGCTTGCCTGTCTTCATCTAAAACAAAAGCAGCAGACTGCTCAGTAGTACTTTCCAATCTGATTTTTCTGACTGTTGGTTTTTTTGTTAGGTGATGTGTACATTATATTGAATAGGAATACATTATAAAGTCTGGGCAAATGAGTGTGTATTGATACTCTTTTATCTTGGCCTCTTGGGCACTGGTGCTTTTTTAAAATGAGACTTGCAAGAATCTTTAGTTAAGACTTTTTCAGATTATGACCTGTATCGTGACAATGTATGAAGATACTGAATCATAACTAAAGATGACTCCTTGGTGTTCTATGAAAAACTCTTAACAAATACAACTCATAAAATGATAATGCCTTTTGAGAAATATGTTCTCATAATGTTCCTAAGAGAGAGGTGCCAAAATGTCTTGCATTCCACTAATGAAAATTCAGGATTTGAGTTTCCTGGCATTTTCACCAAGTTTATTAACTTTGGTGTTATCTGTATAGTATGTTTGAAATTCCTTAAATCAAAGCATCCTTAATCTTGCTTTGTTGCTGTGGTCGTTGTTTCTTTTTTGATTGCACCTTGAGGCTTGTGTGATCTTAGTTCCCAGACTAGGGACCATGCCCCCTGCAGTGGAAGCACCGAGTCCTAACCACTGGACCCCAGGGAAACTGTTACTAAAAGATTTCTCTTCTTTATGATTGTGCCTCTCAGTTTTTCTGAGTGTGGCCGGATAGCTTGGTATATGGTGGTTTGCTGAGTTTGTTCATTAGTTTACTTGTTAAAAGTTTATTTAACACACATTTATAAAGTGTATACTGTGTGTCAGGCACTTTTATTACAAGTCTATCTGGTATTTTTCTCCAATCATTTCAGGACTGATGAGGAATGTCTTAATATCTCAAGATGGTGCTAAAATTGGGATCGTGTGTTTTCAAAACAGAAGCACCTGGCTCACTGTATTGTTCTACTCTGAGGCCACCTTGGGTGGCCAAGACCCCCATCCTTAAGCTTGTAAGAATCACGATGCTTGTGAAGCTGTTGCAGGTGTTTTTGCGACGGTTCATAACGACTGCTTGCTGCCTGCCTGTCCTAATTCCCCAAGTGATGAGGAACTCTTCTGTGAGCTTCTAGTCCCTGTCGAAGTCCTTTTAAATGTCACACTCTCTCCCACCTGTCTTTTATGGTACTAGATCCATACTCACTTAAAACCATGTGAGCTACTTACATGAGAGTTGTAAGGTGTGTGTTTTATGTGATACTGTCATGGACTTATTTAGCATGTGATCAAGGAATCAGTTCCCCCATCTGAAAGCTGTTTTTGAAAACTGTGTTTAAAACTATATCAAAATTGCTACTTTGGATGCTGTATAAATTGACAGGTTGCCTCCTAGTGTACAAAGGAGGACCCTCCACACTCTCCTCATGTGGAGAGGTACCGCTGCCGGCCGTCCTGCTCTCAGCAAGGCTTCTGAATTGCTTCTAACAGTAGTGGCTTGTGTTGTACCTTGGCACAAAGGACACCTTACCTCAGGTCTCCTAGTAGGTCAGCAGCAGAAATATAACTGGAACATGGATGTGTTTAGCTTTAACATAGAGATTACATTTGCTTCCCCTTTGTCTCACCCCCTTTCTCTTTACAGGGGTGGTGAATGTGCTCCTCACGACTCCACTCTGGGTGGTAAATACCAGACTGAAGCTGCAAGGGGCAAAATTTAGGAATGAAGACATTGTACCGACCAACTACAGTGGTATCATTGGTGAGTGTCTTTTGGGTGTGTTCCTTTTTGAAGGTTCTCTTTTCTCTTTGTATCTGGAATTTATCACCATGATAAAGCTACATAACGGACAGCCTCAAATCTCAGTGTCCCACAGTAAGCATTTGTTTAGCTCCTGTGTCTGTGGATTGACAAGGATTTGATTCGTCTAAGCTGACTCCATCCTCGGAGTCTCAGCTCCATGTGTCTCTCTTCCATTTCCTGGACTAGCCTCAGCATATTCTTCTCTTGGTGATAGCAAAAGCACAGGAAGACACGCCCGATCATACAAGCATATTTTAAGCCCCTGTTTGCATCTTGTCTATTACCATCCTCTTGGCCAAAGCACTCCCAATGGCCTAGCCTCAAGACAAGGGGTAGAGAAATATACCTGTGGAATATAGCCCACAGAGCGAAGGTGGGAGGGGATGAATATTTCTGAAGAATAATCTGCTACTTTTTCCCCGCCAGTGTTGTCTTTGGATAAAGATTCAAGATTAGTGTCTGATATCTTTGAGCTTCTGCTTTTGAATAGTATCACACTGCCAGGTTCTTCTTTCCCATCTTTCCTCTTTGTAATGAGGACAGTGATTTTCTTAAAAGGCAGTCCTATAAAATGAACTCCAGAGAACTGTCTTATCTTTTTCTGTACTAGCCTTCACTGTGAAACCCACAGACTGTTGTTCCCCATTCTGTCTGTGTAAGACAGAGAGCTCAGTGGTGGAGATGATCAGTATCGAGGAAAACTTGACCTGCTAACCCCAGATTTGTCAGGAAGGGTTGCCAACAATTGAAGTTAGTCTCTCAATAACTCAGTGACTGTCAGTATCTGATGATTCTCCAGTTAACGGATTAACTTGTCATTGCCAGAAGGAAATCTTCATAGAATCAGTCTGGCCTGTGTTCTGGGCACGTGTCTTTCTAGTTAGGGGATTGTCCTCAAAGGTCCTTGATTTCTTGCTTAGATGCTTTTCACCAGATCATCCGGGATGAAGGGATCCTGGCTTTATGGAATGGCACCTTTCCCTCCCTGCTGCTGGTCTTCAATCCTGCCATCCAGTTCATGTTCTACGAAGGCTTAAAACGGCAGCTTTTAAAGAAACGAACGAAGGTGAGCCCTGATCTTGAAAGCCACGAACAGCCCCTGACACCTTCTCGCTGTGTAGACTGATGCAGTTCCTTCTTTCTTTGCCTTGCAGCTTTCTTCCCTGGATGTGTTCCTCATTGGCGCAATTGCCAAAGCAATCGCCACCACGGTCACCTATCCTATGCAGACAGTACAGTCAATTCTGAGGGTGAGTGCTGGGCTTCTCCTGCATTTAAACAGACAGCATTCTAAAATAATGTCGTTTCTCTGTTTTAAGCAATGTTAATAAAGCAATGAAGTGCTCCAGAGCATTTCTCAGCCAATTTCCCGTTGTTTGATATTTTGCTAACTAGTCAGGCTGTCAGTTGGTTTTCTCTTTGGTTTGGAACAAAGTTTATACTTTGAGTTTCTTCAGTCACCTGCTATCTCAGAAAATCCAACTATGGAGGAAGTTCTTTAAGGACCTCAGGAACATAATAAGTTTGCTTCCTTCACATTCAAGTTGATTGGCCTGGTGCACAGGGTAGATTTCCCTTTACAGAATCAGAGATTCATTCAGAAGGAATGAATGATTTAGCTTTTCTGAAGTATTTTCAAATTTCTATTTTTCATTCATTCAGTTATTTATTCTATGAAATATTTTTTTAAGTACCTATTCTGTGAGCAACTGGGTGCACAGGGTGAATAAAAGCCATAGTCCCTTCCCTAAGGAGTTAAGCCAGGAGAGAGCGAACAAGTAAATCAGCATAAAATAGGTAGCTGCGAATTGGGGAGGGAGCTATTGAGGATGTAAGCCACATTCTGTGATTTAGTGGAGAGGGCCACAGTGGGGATCTTCTCAGATGGCATGACTGGGGATGGGTCCTCTGGGGAGCCCTGTGTAAATCAAGACTCAAAGGAGGGTAAGGACCCAGCCATGCAAAGAGCAGAGGAAAGAGCTTTCCAGGTAGAGGGAACATGGTGTACTGAGAGCTTGATGAGTCCTAGCAACGGAGAGGGAGGCCGCTGTGTGGCTCAGAAGGCAATCAGGAGAGAAGTAGGGTGGCTATGAGTGACGACTGGATTTTATTCTCACTGCAGTAGGAAACCATTGCAGGGCTTTAGACGAGAATCATGTGATCTGATTTATAATTTGAGAAGACTACCATGACTATTCAGTGGCAAATTGGTCAGAAGGCTAAGAGAAAGGGGAATTTCAGGTTAAGAGGCTATTTCAGTCACATGTGAGACGCGATGGTGGCCTGGACTAAGATGGTGGTGGAAAGGGAGGGATTCAAGTTACGTTTGGGAGAAAAAAATTCAAAGGACTTAAACCAATGAGTAAAATGGAGGCGTTAATGAAAGTATTTTAGTTTGAAAAGATTATTCCCTTCTGTTAAAAGTATTTTTACCAATGGACTATTTTTAAATTGGTACTTAATATAAAGAATTTGAGTTGCAGTCCAATAAATGTATTTTGACATTTTTATAATAGAAACAACATGAAGAGCTTGGACTACAGAGATTCTAACTGATTAATGTTTATCATAACTTCTTAAAAGACTGGAAGCCATTCCATCAGTATCTAAATCTTCATCCTAGGCATGATTTTTTCTTTTGAGGTAGAATTTTCCCCATGATTCTCCGTAAAAATGAAAATTCTCATGCTTCACTGAAAAAAAAATTGTTGTTTTCACTTATTTCATTGAAATATTTCATTTGTTTCGTTGAAAAAAAGAGGATTGATGAAATCTAAATACTAAAAAAGCCACCAGGGGCTTCCTTAGTGGTTCAGATGGTAAAGAATCTGCCTGCAGTGTAGGAGATCCAGGTTCAATCCCTGGGTTGGGAAGGTTCCCCTGGAGAAGGGAATGGCAACCCGCTCCAGTATTCTTGCCTGGAGAATTCCATGGACAGAGGAGCCTGGCGGGCTACAGTCCATGGGATTGTAAAAGAGTTGGACATGACTGAGCAACTAACACTTTCACTTTCACATATTAAAAAGGTATTTTTATTACCATCTACTGTAAGATGTTACTCCACCATAAGTGGAAATTAAGATTAAAAAAAAAGTGGTAACAGGGCTTCCCTGGTAGCACAGTGGTAAAAGTCCACCTGCCAAATGCAGGAGATGCCGGTTCGATTCCCCTGGGGAGATCCCGCAGGCCATAGAGCAGTTGCGCCCGTGCGCCACAACTCTGGAGCCTGCGCTCTGGAGCCTGTGCGCGGCAGCAAGAGAAGGCACCGCAATGAGAAGCCCAGGCGCTGCAACGAGAGTAGCCCGCAGTCAGTGCAACTAGAGGAAAGCCCACACCCGGCAACGAAGATGCAGCCCAGCAAAAAAAGGAACAAGTAAATAAATGAAGCTTTAAAAAAGAAAGCGGTAACAGATGGCAATTATTTGTCTTGTCCCTTCTTCCTTAGTTTGGACATCACAGACTCAACCCAGAAAACAGAACACTGGGGAGTCTTCGGAACATTCTCTATCTCCTTCACCAGCGAGTAAGGTGAGCTTCGTAGATGTTTCACATTCTGTCCTCTCTTCTAACAGCCGTCTCTGCCAAGAAGTGGTTGGATTTGCTTATCTTGTATTTTTGCCCTGGCAGCAGCAGCCTGAAAACTTCTCCCTTGCCTGCTGTGCGCAGACATTTCTCATTTAGGAGCTGAGTGACACATGAGCGTGTTGAGGGAAATTGTGGAAAAGTTCGTGTCCTTATTCTTTGTTAGTTACAAATATTCAGGACTTCTTTAGAAAGGGAATCCTCCAGTGAAATCTAGCCATTTGCAACAACATGGATGAACCTTGAGTGTTTTGTTAAGTGAAATAAGTCAGGCCGAGAAAGATGATGTGTGCTTTTGCTCATATGTGGAATCTACAGACCGACAAACTCATCAGTGCTGAGAACAGATTAGTAGCTACCAAAGAGAAAGAGGGTTTGAGGGTAGGCAAAATGGGTGGAAGGAGTCAGCTGTATGGTAATGGATGCTCATGGGACCCGTGGTGGTGATCACTGTGCAGTGTGTAGAGATGTCAGATTATAATGCTGCACACCTGAAACATGGGGTTTCCCCGATAGCTCAGCTGGTAAAGAATCTGCCTGCAATGCAGGAGACCCTGGTTCAATTCCAGGGTCGGGAAGATCTGCTGGAGAAGGGATAGGCTACCTACTCCAGTATTCTTGGGCTTCCCTTGTGGCTCAGCTGGTAGAGAATTCACCTGCAATATGGGAGACCTGGGTTCGATCCCTGGGTTGGGAAGATCCCCTGGAGAAGGGAAAGGCTACCCACTCCAGTATTCTGGCCTGGAGAATTCCATGGACTGTATAGTCCATGGGATCGCAAAGAGTCGGACATGACTGAGCGACTTTCACTTCACTTTACACCAGAAACAAAGGAGAGCCCTCCTGTGATCTAGTGTAGAGACCGCTCTGCTGAGCAGTGCTCCATCGATGATGCATCCCAAAACCCCTTGTAGATAGAAATAAGCAGGTGTCAGGGAGTCATCATGGGAAAGGGAAGAAGAGTAGGCTGAGGAACAGCAGCTGTCATCACAATTATGACAACAGTGATGATGATGGCGAGAGGAGTTAGCATTTTTGAGCTATTATGTGGCAGACACTAAGCCAGATGCTCTACTTGGGTAATCTCACTTAATCCTCACAGCAGCCCTTTGAGCAGGTACTGTCGTCATCTCCCCATTTCATTTAAAGGGGAAATCAAATAGGTCAGCACCTTTGAGGCAGAAGCTATTATAACTTTATTACTGTTCCTAGATGTAAGATATTTTAAACTAAGTTTATTATAAAGATAGAATATGCTTGGGATAAAAAATTAAATGAAAGATAAGGAATTGGTGTAAAGTAAAAAAAAAAAATTGCTGATCATACCAAGTGTTGGCAAAAATGAAGCAACTAGAACTTTCCTATGCTGGTGGGAATTTAGAATGTCACAAGCACTTTGGAATGCAGTGTGGCATTTTCTTATAAAGTTAAACATATGCCTCCCATAGACCCAGCCATTCCCTTTCAAGGTATTTACCCAAGACAAATGAAACACGTCTACACAAAGACCTGTGCATAAATGTCAGCTTTATTTGTTAGAGTCAAAAACTGGAAACATCCCAAATGTCCATTATTGAATGAGTAGGTACAAGTTGTGATATACCTGTACAATGGAATACTATTCAGAAAGGAAAAAGAAATAATTATTGATACATGCAAAAATGGAGGTGGATCTCAGAATAGTTACGCTGAGTAAAAGATCAGACAAAAGAGAATTCATATTGTATGATTCCACTTTTATGACCGCCTGCCAGGGCAGGAAATGGAAGAGATGTGGGTTCAATCCCTGGGTAGGAAGATCCCCTGGAGAAGGAAATAGCAACCCACTCCAGTATTCTTGCCTGGGAACTTCCATGGACAGAGGAGCCTGGTGAGCTACAGTCCATAGGGTCACAAAAGAGTTGGACACGACTGAGCACACACACACACTTACCACTTAAACTTAGAAAGTGATCTACAGTGACAGAAAACAGTGCAAATGATCTACAGTGACGGCAAAGGGACGTGAGGACAGCGTCCTCCTGGGGATGATGGATGTGTTCATGACCTTGAACGTGGTGATGGTTCATGTATGTGCCCATCTGTCAAAACTCATCAAACTGAAGTCATTTAAACTTCAATAAAGCTATAAATATATGCATATCTACACTGTTTTCTGTCTCTTTTCCAAGAGACAGTCACTATTAACAAAAAGTATATGTATTTCCAAAATACTGTATAAAAAACATGCATTTTTCACTCCATTTCCAGCCTCTTCTCCTCTCTGGAGAATAGTAGGTGGTGCTGGAAATTCCCGGCTTCTGATCATTGCTTGGTCTTTCCGGTGACCAGCCCCACCCAGGAGTCCACCAGGAATCACCTCTTTAGAACAGAAGACACTACTGTCACCCAGGACTTAAGGGATTTAGGATCTCTGTGTCAGGAACTAGGATCAAAGACCAATTGTTAGAATAAAGAAATGCTCCTAGTGTTCTTTTCACTTAGGAAATTAATAAGCAAGAGCTCCTAGAACTTTGTGCCAGGAACTGAGGACAGGGACTAAAAGCTGTTTTTTTTTCTGTTAACTTCTAGCAGACCTCACCTTGAGAAACACCACGGTGGAGTTTCTTGGGTTTCTTGGGGGAACATAAGTTAGCCAATGAACTAGAAATTCATGAGTCAAGGCTTTTCATTTCTATTTATCACATGATTCACTCCAAATAATAGATTTTCACACATAGCAAGTATGTAAAATGTAGAACAGCTTCTGAATGGAGCACTTGACTGACTTTTAATATCTTGGTCTGCATGCATGCTATATAGAGCCCTGGAGTTGCTGATGAACTAGCATATGAGATTAATTCACTCTCAATAATTAGCTCTGGAGACATCATTTACTCTGAGCTTATATTTCTAGCTGAAGCATTCTTCTCTGTGGTTAGAGCAGTCGTTCTAAAGGGCTGGTGTCCAGGCGGGCCTTGTCATCCTCATCACCTGGGAGCTTATTAGCAATGCAGATTCTTGAGTCCCATCCCAGGCTTAATGCTTCGGAAACTCCGTGGATAGGACTCAGCAATCTGTGTTTCACCGAGCCTTCCCAGTGATTGTGACATACACTAAATTTAAGAACCACTCAGTTAAAAGGTCAAATGTACGGAAAGACTTGGTATTGGAGAGATTTTCATTCCTGTCACTTTCTCTAGTTCTGTTCAGGCTACAATGATCTAAACCAATTGGCAGCTCTCCTACCATTTAGGGGCTATTAGGTTGAAATAACTTTGTTGGGAGAGCCTTAAAGTCAAGATCTAAAAGTTCTTTGTTAATCTTAGATGTTGGCATTAAAATGGTTTTAGGAGTTTAGGATCTGTACCCTCTCTGTGAGATACTGTCAGCATTCCTCTGATTAATCATGGCTTTGAAGAAATAGTAAACTTTTATCAGTTCCCAAACACCTTCAAAGATAAAGTACTTAAGTAACAGAAGTTCATTAATATCTAAAACTTCCATTGCTTCTTTTGATCCTAAGAATAAGCCTTTGCAAAATAGTATGCTTCTTTGAAAACCTTGTTTTTTTTCCTCACCTCTTTCCTTTTAGGCGTTTTGGAATTGTGGGACTCTACAAAGGCCTTGAAGCCAAGCTGCTGCAGACAGTCCTCACTGCTGCTCTCATGTTCCTCGTTTACGAGAAGCTGACGGCTGCTACCTTCATGGTCATGGGGCTGAAGAGCACGCGCAAGCACTGAGACACCTTCCACCCACCCCCAGCACTCAAGAGATGCTCCAGACGGGGGCTTCCTTCTCTATAATGGGAAGTGATTCCACTATACTTGCCCCTTCCACTGAGAAATCTACCCTCATTGGCTTGAAATGCATCTAAGGGTACATACACATGCAGGTTATAGCCAGCTTGACTCATTACCAACTTAACTTTTTTGATGGTTGGTTGAGTTTGTGGAGGAGGTTGGACCAATGGCCATATGAAAAGAACACATGATTGAAAACGTAAAAATGAAACTTGATGGGGATTTATTGATTTTCCTGAAGGGAATGGACTATTACTCTCATGTATAATCTCCAGTTTAAATTTACCAGCTATTCTCTTTCCCTGAACCCTCCCCCCAGGTTCTACAACCAATTCGCTACCATGTAATTCTCTTGGTAGTCTCCTCGTATATACTTTTGTATGTCTTCATCTTGGTATTTTCCTCACTAAAAATGTTATGACTATGCCACAGGCATGACTATTATTCTTGAGCTTTTTTTCTCCCGATTAAGGAAAGATATCTTCTTTAGTGTGTGAGCTATTTATTTTGTGGGGGAAATGAAAATGATTAATTCCAAATGATTCTCTTATAAACTGTTTGTAAGCATCACTTATTCTTTCGTATCTGACATAATTAAAAAATATTTATTTTGAATCAACTTTTTCATTACAGAACTTGAGGTTTTATGTTCATCCATAAGGGCCCCAATAAATTGTAAGAACAAAAGCCCATTCTTAAAATTTGCCCTTTAGAGTATTACATTGGGTTTACAACCAGCTGGTAAAAATCACAGAAAAGGGAGAGGGAGCAGATACCTTGTTTAGGCTCTGGAATACTGTCTTCTTTTATAAACTCTTGGTAGAGGCTGTATATTTTGAGAATAAACTTCTGGTTAAGGTTATTTCCGTTTGAAAATGTTGCTTAGAGTCCTGCTACTCAAAAGTGTGGGTCCCAAACAGTAGCGTCAATATCACCTTAGGAGCTTGTTGGATATGCCAACCAGACATTCTGAATTATCTTCTGTGTTTTAACAAGATACTCACATGATCTGTACTCATCAAAGTTCAAGAGAACTTAGAGCTCCCGACTCCACAGAAGATGTAATTGGTTTCAATTATGGAAACCAAAGATCGATATAGAAGGAAAGATGGACTAATGTATTATATTAGAGCATCCTCTGAAAAGAGCAGAAGTCCTGTCATCATTTATGCTCACCTCACAGCGCATGTTCAGGTTGGTAGGACTTTCATTATGTGGTCAACAATGAATTTTGACATCTCAAGGCACTCAAGAAGCAAACTCTCTTCACGTGAGTAGAACAGCAGCTTTTTCAGACTTAATTTTAGTCCCTATATCAAAATGATAGGTTTTTCATTTATAAGTCTAATTCAATCAATTAGAGCAATAATGAAGTGTGTATCTATTCTACATTAGTACTGAAGTTCAATTTGGGGAGTGGAAATTTGTTTTCTCTCTTGTCCCTGTGGTAATTTCAAAATACATGATTATTAGACTAGTAATAATCAAAAGATCATAGTGTTGTTCTAGAAAACAAAAACTAAGAGGAACTGATAATCTGAGAACTAGACTGAACACTTCTCTAAAAGCTAGAGAATTGGCCCCATTAACTGCTTTTTATTTTATTTATATATTTTATTTTTTAAAATGTGTGTGTGTGTGTGTGTGTGTGTGAAGACTTGAGTGGGGAGCTTGGGGGAAGAATGACCGTAAAGATGCCATGTGTACTTTTGTTATTAATTTTGATGTTCACTTTGGAACTTGAATTTTGAGCTCAGGGTATTATGAATGTTGGTATGTTAAAATAATTCCCGAGTCAGGTTGTATAGTTATATTGGATATTTATGAGGTGAGAATGTATCTGATGCTTCTTTTTTATCTGATTTTATGAGAGAACAATTTCACTTTGAGGTTTATGTTCCTTGTGGAAGCTAATCTCACTCCGAGTTAATAACTCACTCGGTTTTATAACCTTTGATAATAAGTTGCTTGAAAAAACTAAGGAGCTGAATTCTATACTAGGGGAATGGAAGACTTTTTCTTTCTGATTCTTTATGCAGTTTCTTTAGAAAATGAGGATTAAAAACCCTAGAGATTATGTTAGAAAATTTCATCTGTAAGCATTTAATCTATGCTTTAAAGTGGACATCAAATGTCCACTCTTGTCTGTTTTACTGTTAAGTTTGAAACACAGAAATAGGATTTACCATCAGAACATAAGCAGTGGGAGTTAGAATCTCAAGTTTTATTCTCTGCTCTGCCACTGACAAGTTATGTCATCTCTGTGTTTCAGCTTTTTGATAAGTGGAAGCAATAATAGGACTCATCTCAGAGGGTATTTGAGAGCTCATGATGTCAGCTAAATCCCTTTATGATCGTGGGAGAAGGAAGATCCGAGTGAAACATGTAACAAGCCCAGATTTATATGGCAATTTCCCTTCTTAAAGCTTATACACTTTCTCATTTTATAATCCCAATACCTCTGTAAACTAGGGAGCAAGTAACTGTATTCCCATTTAATTACTAAGGAAATTGAGACAGCTATCAAATGACTCACCTGGTTGGAGCCAGGACTAGAGTTGGGTTTCCTGCAGTCTAATGTAATGATTATGAGAATGGGTTCTGGAGTTAGACAGACCTAAGTTCAACTCTGGTCTTGCTCTCTACCAGCTGTGGGAATAAGGCAATTGCTGTACTGGTATAAAACTCAGTTTTCTCAGCTGTGAAATGGAGATGGTGATAAACCTACCTCATAGGGTGATTGTGAGGATTAAAGGAGATCATATATATAAATTTCCTAGCACAAGACTCGCCATATAGGAAGAGCTAGATGAATGTTAGTGACGACTATTACTACAGTATTATTATTGATGAAGGATATGACTGAATAGATGCAACTGTAGTTCAGTGGAAAGCACTCTGGGTTTTGAGGCAGATCTAGGTTCAGACTTTCATTCTATCACTTAAAAGCATTGTGGCATGAAGTCACGGATGTCGAGAACGGACTTGTGGTTGTCACGGGGGGACAAGGGTAGGGATGGACTGGGAGATTGGGGATGATATGTGCATACACTGTTTATAAAATAGATGGCTAATTGGGACCTACTGTCTAGCACAGGAAACTACTCAAGGCTCTGTAACTACCTATATAGGAGTAGAAACTAGAAAAGTGTGGCTATGTGTATGTGTGTGGCTGATTTACTTTGCTATATAGCAGGGACTGGCATGGCACTGTGAATCAGATATACTCCAGTGAAGATTAATTTTTAAAAAAAAGCATTGTAGCCACAGACAAGTCATTTCCTCACCTGTCTTAGTCTTTATGTGTTTATCTTTCCAATAGAAATGATTACCAGGCAAGGCTATTTTGTGTGTGTGTGTGTGTGTGTGTGTGTGTGTAATTTTTCTTTAATTTTTAGAACCAGCCTTGCAAGGTAATCATTTCTGTTGGCTGGGTGAGGATGTATATATATAGGTATATGTGTGTGTGTGCTTAGTCGCCCAGTTGTGCCCAACTCTTTGTGACCCCATGGACTGTAGCCCTCCAGACTCTTCTGCCCATGGGGATTCTCCAGGCAAGAATACCGGAATAGGTTGCCACACCCTCCTCCAGGGGATCTTCCCAACCCAGGAATCAAACCCAGGTCTTCCTCACTGCAGGCAGATTCTTTACCGACTGAGCCACCAGGGAAGCCCATATATATGTATATAAGCATCTTGCAGAGTATATGACATATAAATGTGCTTAATAAATGTCAAGGTTTTCTACTCAGACATAATTGACATATAACATTTTATTAGTTTCAGATGTACAATGGAGTAATTTCATATACGTATATATTGCAAAATGATCACTACAATAAGTCTAGTAAACATCTACCACCAAAACATGCATTAGATGCTGTTTAAACCAAGAAAACCAACTATATTTTACTTTGAGGCAGTCTTCCCATTTGTTTTAATTGTGAACATTTCTCATCTGGAAGGCTTTTGTGTACCTCATTAAAAGTGAAGCCAAGCCCAGTAATTTTATGTTTTAACCACTACTAAAGTCCAATGGACAGCAAGGAGATCAACCAGTCAACTCTAAAGGAAATCAACCCTGAATATTCATTGGAAGGACTGATGCCGAAGCTCCAGTACTTCGGCCATCTGATGCGAAGAGCCAACTCACTGTAAAGAGCTAACTCATTGAAAAGTGCCGACTCATCTTTCCCTAATACTGGGGAAGATTGCAGGAAGGAGGAGAAGGGGTGACAGAGGAGGAGATGGTTGGATGGCATCACCAACTCAATGGACGTGAGTTTGAGCAAACTCCGGGAGATAGTGAAGGACAGGGAAGCCTAACATGCTGCAGTCCGTGGGGTTGCAAAGTGTCGGACACAACTGAGCAACTGAACTGACTGGCTATAGACGGTAAAGAATCTGCTTTCAATGCAGGGGACCCAGGTTCAATCCCTGGGTCGCAAAGATCCACTAGAGAAGGAAATGGCAAGCCACTCCAGTATTCTTGCCTGGAGAATCCCATGGACAGAGGAGCCTGGTGGGCTACAGTCCAGGGGGTTGTGAAGAGTTGGACATGACTGAGTGACTAACACTTTTCTTTAGCCACTGAACAATAATCCCGCATTCAGATGAAGGCCCCCAAACGTTTATCAGTTCATCAGTAAAATATGAACTGGTTCAGTAGCACAAAGTCACTGGCTGAGCTACTGTCTCATCTTGGCTCTCTAGAAAAGCTAAAGAATTGTGACTTCATGGCGCCAAATGCCACATGTCTCTGGAGAGCCCTGTTTCTGGGCTGGTGAATTACTTACCTAGCAGTGTTGACTGTCACCAGAATACCAAAGATACACAAAGGCTCACTTGTAGAATATTTTTATATGTAGTAAATGCAATTGATGTGACCCCACAGGATTTTTACTATAGAAACGATTGGACCTTGGGTTAGTGCTTGCTTT